GGATGGTTGAGAGAAGGTTCCTTTATGCGTTTACCGTGAGTGAAAAGTGAGAAAATAAGAAATGCCGTAACCCTCATTTGGTAACCGCTCTTTAATTTATATGAAGGGAGAGGGGAGGGTTTCCTTATAATTGTATTTACAATCATACCCTCAATGACTCTATTTTATATTTAACCACCATCACATTAAATCATTAATTAAAGTCATGCTATAAGTTACATAGGCCACTATAACAAGATTATTAAAATAATCTAACAACAACATGTGGTTATAGATCCACAACAAACCATTATACATCTTAAGAAGAAGTGTAGTGTTCAGAGCAGGACGACTTGATACTAGTTATCTAAGACTTTGTTCAGGTCTACAATGCTTGAAAATATTCAAGTTGGACTACGCGTTTTCAAGATGATTGATCTTATTGAGCAATTGAAAAGTCATACAAATTTGAGAAAGAGCCTTCTTAAGAATTAATTGTGCAACTTTGCCTTATAAATTTGAACTGTTCATTGTAAACTTCAACTATACTGCAACCTATAAATAAATAAAAAATAATGAAAAAATATTCCAAATCTTGTATTTGTTTCATTAAAATAGGATCTTATGGATGATAAGGATATATAATAATTCTAAAAAAAATTAGTTAGTCAGAAAAAATTTATGAAAAGAATGAGAACTAAGAGTATGTTTAAAAGAGATATTTAAGTGAGTAATTTAATTTTTAAAAGAATTTATAATCTTATGATTTAAAATTTGTTGTTTGGATATTGAATTTTAAAGAACTTAAAATTCTAAAAATTTTAATGAGAATTTTTAATAGATTAAAATTAAAAAATTATAAGTCTTAGTAAAAGAGTGAGAATTTGACATTATCTATTTCATTTATCATGTGTTCTATTCATATTTTAATTTGATTGTAAATAATTTAATAATTTAAATTAAATATTTTTACAAAAAAAAAAATTAAATATTTTTAATTAATTTTGTTAAATACAACAATAATTTTATATTTTTTAAACAGTTAATTTAATTATTGTATCTAAATAAAACTATTTGAAATGGAGGAAATCTTAATTACTTTATTTTAAAATAATAAAAATTTAAATAATATAATTTAAATTCTCTAAAATTTATAATTATCTATCTAAACACAACTTAAGAGTGTATTTTGATATCCAGTTATTCAAATATTTATTTATTAAATTTTATTTTTTAATTAATTACTTAAATTATAAATTTAATAATAAAATTTATTAGGATAATTAATACTAGTGGAATTAACATTAAATAAGGAAAGATTAAAAGTATTGCAATTTTCATAGAAATTAATATATTAACTTATTTTAATAACCTTTTTCTCAATGAATGTATGTATATGTATATATATATCAGAAAAGATCTTCTCACACAAGTGTAAATCTAAAAAATTTTACATTTGATTAGTAAAAGTAATAAATTATAATCTGTTAGATGTAAGTTAAATAAAAAGTGTAAAAAATTTTAAACTTACACTAGTGTAAGGAGATACTACATATATGAATTTATGGTAGTCGTTCCTTCAAATTGATCTCAACTTAGAATAAACTTTTTTGTGGAAACATGTAGGGCCCTTTTTTTTTTTATAGGTAAAACATATAATATTAGAGAAAGTTCAAGGAGAACTCAAAACTCATATACATAGAGAAAAAAATTAATATTTACTTAGAAAAATAAAAAGTAAAAACATACTTATACGTAGCTAAGACGAATGCAATTTCGTAGGTTCAAATACTAATTAGTTAATAAAATAGCTTCTCCCTTACTAACAAGTGATAGTCATTTTTAGGACTTCAAAATAATAAAATCTAGGACTTCCCTCTTATCCAAAACACCATTGGCACATTATACTTACCCAAATAATTAATAAACATATTCCTTCTCTTTTACTACAACTAACACCAATCCAAGAAAGCAAGTGAATTTATAAATTTGAAGGTAAAACCAGTGAGAATCTAAGCTAACGCAAGTAAAGTACTAGATTTGATATGAAACTAAGCACGTTAACAACAAATGAGTTTGAGTTCCTCCAAACCATGACAGAAGCAACAAGTTATATCATCAATTTAAACACCACGATCAATCAGCAAACCTTTACAAGAAAGTGTAATGAACAACAATTGCCAAGAAAATACTAGACATTTAAGAGAGACCTTCCCTCTCCATAACCTTTGCAAGGCGTTCACTGTACACTAATCTACATTATTAGGACCACCAAAAAGTTCAAATCGCCATGAATACGCAAATTATACTGAATAATAATATGAAGAATCTGCCCTCTATACCCATTTATCTTCTTATAATACCTTAATAGAAACTCCATTCACAAGCTCCAACAAAAGGTTAAAGATTGAGATCTCATATTGAAAGAGTCTTCTTTGTCAACTAACATCCCAAACCTACCTAGTGCTATCATTAAAACTATTCTCTAATACACAAGATTCAACATTCCTCACCACGGCAAACAATTACGGAAATGCCTAATATAATCACACCCTACCTACCCACTTATCTCTCCAAAAAGAGTATGTAAACCTGCATCTATACTCCTATCCAACTTCTCATCTAGCCATGAATTTTTTTTATGAATAACCTCCAGCAAATCACACCACCACAAAAAATATCTGTTGTGGACTAATGAACGCTGAATAAAAGAAGCTAATATGCAATACTTAACTTCTAATACCTGCACCCGCAATAAACTAAAACAATTAACGCCTCACCACAACCATTTATCAAGAAGCATCCAGTTAAAGTATTGCACATTTCTAATGTCCAAACCACCATTCTAACATGTAGGGTCTTCTGTTTTAAAGGTTTGACAGGAAATAAGAATTAGATATGGTGTTCAATATTGAATATCTCAACAACAATCAGATTTTAAGAAAAATTGGTGTCATTTTCTTTTTTATATATATTTTTCTGTCTCTGTCTCGTCGTATTTAAATTTAAATGAGGCTATTCTTCGTTTGATTGCTCTCGAAGTTTGAAACTAACATGATTTTATAATAATGTTTTAATTTAATCCGCTTGTTAACTAACCGAAAGAAACCCTTGTATATATATATATACTATAGTCGCCTTTCTTTATCATACACACAAAACGAATGTTTTAATTAATATAGGTAAGCTTTTTCTTTTATAAATTTATGTTGGATCTAACTACAATAAATTTGCCAACGCAATTTTTGTTTGCATAATTGATAATACTATACTCTTTTTGTGATTTTCGTTACCAACTCCATTTACACGTGAAACTATATGTTAAATTGTCTTATAAATTATGATTAATTATAAATGAAAAATTAATTTAGAAATTATACGTAATGAATAAGACATTATTTTCCTCTACAGTAAAAAAAATTTAATTACAAGAAATAAAATATGTTTCACGCATAATTTTAAATATTAAAAGAGAGAGTTTTGCTATGGTGACTCTAATAAAATTACTTCCAAAAAAATTGATTATTATATATCATTTTAGTTATCTTTTTAATAAATAAATATCAAATAAAATATATTAATTATTTTGAAAGATAAAAAAAATATTTAATATTTTATTCATTTAATAATTAAAAATTATAAGAATAAAAGGTAAAATAATTTTTAAACTGTTAGTTTTAAAATCTTATTACATATCAGTTACAAGAAATAAAACATGTTTTACGCATAATTTTAAATATTAAGAGAGAGATTTTTGTTGTGGTCTTAGATACTTAACTTGAATAGAATTATTTTTAATAAAAGATATTTATGATTTAGAAGAAAAAATTTAATTGTTGTATATTATTTTATTTATTTTTCCAATAAATAAATATCAAATAGAAAATATATTAATTATTTTGAAAAGATAACAAATATTTAACATTTTATTCATTTAATAATTGAAAATCATAAGAATAAAACGTAAAATAATTTTGAAATTATTGATTTTAAAATCTTAATAGGCTTGCGTAAAGAACTTATTTTCTTTCACGGTGAAAGAAATTTGATTATAAGAAATAAAACATGTTTCACGCCCAATTCTACATAACTCGAACATAATTACTTTTAATAGAAGATACTTGTGATATATATATAAAAAAAAAAGAGTTTTATTGAACATCATTTTTAGTTATGTCTCTAATAAATAAATATCAAATAAAAATATTTAATATTTTATTCATTCAGTAATTAAAAATTACAAGAATAAAGGGTAAAATAATTTAAAATTGTACGTTTTAAAATCGTAATACGGGTGCATACGTCTGAAATGTTAATACACATGATAGGTTAAAATAAAACATGAGTGGTCCTCAATTCAAAAATTTCACCTGATCCCCACCAATTACTAATAACTCTATCATACATAAACAAGTCATTTCTTCATTCTCGTCAAGCCTACACGTAACTAATTGAATATGCATGGTTATATCTCCTTGAGGTAAAATGTGAGTAGTGACGTTTTCATTCCCTCTCAGTTTATTCTTATTCTTGGTTATTGTTTTCATTTAGTTCAATTTATTGTGTGTATATGCAACAGGCATGCACGTAAACTACAAGTACCTTGAAAAAGCCTCCAAATATATAAATTGAAGTGGAAACGTGAGGAAGGTGTAAACGTGTGAGGAAGGAAGGGTTGGAGACTGAGAAGGGACAAAGTCCAAGTCTTCTCTCCAAACCATAACTTTAATATGCATCAAAATTAAAATAAAACAAATGCACACATTCAACAAAACCATTTCCTATACCCTACCCCATTATTATTATAATCATGCTTTCAATTACAACATCATCACTAGCGACTAAGCCAACCATTCGAGTCTCAAAAATTCTCCATCATCGTGATCATGTTCATGTTCATGTTCACCCCTTATTAATTTTCCTAATCTCTCACCCTCTCTTCCATGGCCAAGCCCAGAAACACAACTCCATCAAAACCCAAAACCTCTATTTTTCTCTGCTGCTTTGGGCCCTCCCTTGCCATGGAATCAACCACCAAAGGATCTGATCTTATTTCAAAGAAGAAAAAGAAGAAAACTAGCTGGTTTTCGTGGCGAAGGATTCGACTCAACAAGAATTCAGCTTACAAAACGGTGCCGCTTGAAGCCTCAATATCTGATCAAGCTCATTACTCCAAGTCCAGGTCAAAGTCAACTCTTCATCTCAATTCTCAAGCTCCGGGAACCAATCATCCACCGCCTCCCGCCACACCCTATTATACACCCTCTCAGGTATTATTTATCTATCATTTCTTTTATCTAAATATCTATAAATTGACTTAGTTTAAATATATGTATACTATATCTGTTTTTAAGATATATATTTATCCTAAAAATATCTTTTTAAAGTTAATTTTATTTATTATACTCCTAAACTTTTCTTTATCAATTATGTTCACAATATTTTTTTATTTTTAAAATACTTTAAAATTATTTGGCCATAGTTCTCTATTTTTACCTAAAAATTTTCAAAATAAGAATTAAACATATGTAAGTGCGTCGTAATTTTAATAAAAGGGATATATACTTTTTAAAGTATTAATTTTTTTGGTATTGTGTACGCTCACACTGGCGATTTCAGTTTCGATGAGTTGGATGAACCTGTTCTTATTCGTGATGTTGTGTTCCAGACGAGGCATGGTCCCAACAATGTAGAGGATACGCGTCAACAAGGTAGAGCTTCTCCACCTCAAGTAAAACGGCAGGCGCGGCGAGTGTCGTCATCAATGCAAAGCCAAACGACAAGCAAGAAGCACAAAAACGCGAGGAGATCGTACGACTCTGTCGTTGGCATGTCCGTGCTTGCGGTGACCTTGCTGATAATGATATTTTGGGGTCGTTTATGTGCCATCCTCTGCACTTCCGCGTGGTTGTACTTTATTCCGCGTTTCAAGAAGAGCGATAATGAAAACGACGATGGTGATCCTAATACGACGATGAAATCAAACGGCGTGGATCTGGATTCGGAGGAGTACAAGAAAAAGGTGATCATGGAGGGACTTCTGGAGAGAAATCACAGAGCTGCTCTGTGATTTGATTTTCTTGCAATTAGGTAGGTGGGTTGGTTGTTGATCTTGTCGTTTTGACTGTGTCTGCTTCCAATTTTGTCTAAATTACTACAAAACAAACTGTAAATTGACGAATTTTTGTTGACAATGTTACAGTGAAAACAATTTTAAAATCCCTACCGTATCCATGTTTAACATTCTAAAAATTAAAATATAATATTCTTTTTTAAATCATCGTGATTTTTATTTTTATTTCGCATTGTTGCACGCAGCTACTCAACCGATTAAATCAAATGGTCAAAATCATCTCTATGGAGGTCTGTTGGGTCATAATAAAAATTTGTTCATTACTTAGATATGTTATATATTATGAAATTTTAGTTTTGTTATACTTTTTCCAGTATCGGCACTTTTTATGATACGAATAATATTAGTTGTTAATTTTAACAATAAAAATATATAATCTAATTAAATAAATTAATCAATATTTAATATTTATTTAAAATGGACATTTTTGTCTAAATAATTCTTATTTTTCTCCGGTACTTGACCAGTTGGCCATAAGTCTTGTAACATTTATAAAGTCATCCCATGTGCAATTTATTTTTGGGTGCAATTTATTAAATTCGAGTAATAAAAACTTTTGCCTCATAATTAAATATATTATATTGATTATGATTCGAGATATTAAAAATGAAAATAGGTTAGGTTTACGATTTAGTTTTCTAAAATTTAGACCTATTTAAATATTAGACTTAATTTAAATTTTTAAAAAATGTAATTAATTAAAAATATCAGATTTAAACTTAAAAAATAAAATTTATTAAATTTATTAAAATGATCTATTTAAAACTTAAAATTTTTTAATATATTAAATAATTTTATATCAAAATTATAATATAATATTATATTAAATAAATTAAATTTTAAAATAAATAAAATCTTAAATTATGAATCTTAATTTTTTTTTTTGGAATTTGTAAGTATCTTTATTATATATACTTTTTGAGAGATTATTATGCTTGCTAAAGTCTTTTGCGTTATTGTTGTTTGATTTGTTGTATACATAATGTCAATTTGTATTTGTACTGTCTCGATTAAGTATTTTGATAAAATAAAAATTTGTAATTTTATTATACATATTTAAGGTGTTAAATTATTTTTTTATATATGTCTTATATCTTCTACAAAGACATATCTATCTAAATAGTTTAATAACTTGTTTATAAAATAGTTTAATGATCTATTAAAAATTTGAATATAAAATAAATTAGTAAAAAAACTAATAAAGTAAAATAATTTTTTTAAAAGATGCTTAATAAAAATTCATAACAGATAAGATTTAAAATTATTAAAAAAAAAAATTTATTTATATAAAATTTAGTCAAACTTATTTTCATCTCTTTGGTTATTACTAAACAAATTGAATATTATATTTTAAGAATACAAATATGTTTATTCTGATAAAACAAATTATCACATCTACAAATTTATCACTTTAAATAAAAAATACTATTGTTAACTTGCAATGGTTATATTTTTTAATATTATAATTAAGAAACAGATATTGAATAGTACACATTAATAGGGACTTGAAAACACGAATTTTTCTTCATTAAAATATGGAATTTTTGTTGCCGGTTACCTGGCGGCGATCTCTGAATGGCGTGTACGGGAAAGTGTATGCCAAACCCATAAATAGAAAATTGAAGTCAAAGAATTCGTACAGATATTTTTTAGATTTATTTTTGATAAATATGACTACTTTTCATTAACCTGTTATCTTACGGTATTAATGATTAAAAAACTTTGGGCATTTAACTTATCCGTTTGATTTCCTATACTTCCTTCTGAATTATTTGATTTATGTATGATGCGAGACACGTGATATTTAATAATGTTAGGATTTAAAATAATGGTAATAGATATGCAGATAAATTGATCTGGTTGTGTTGGAGATTTATCAACAAACCTCGGAAAATCTGTGTAAAACGATTAAGGGTTTGGTTTGAAACTTTTGTATGTTACTCCCTTGTTTGAGTCAGACAAATCTATCCACTTTGAATTTTTATTACAGTCCAAACAAATAGCACAAAGAGGTTCACACTAAATATTATTTCTTTTTTGCACTTTAAAATCATTGTTACTAAGTTATAATTTATTTAAACTAATAAGTATTTCATTATATTAAATAATGTTAAATTAAAAATATACATATTTAAATAACTAAATACAGCAAGATGCAATGATTAAAAGAAGTTGGGACTGTGATGGCGGACTCAACAAAGATGATTGGTGCAATAAAATAATAGAAAATGAAGTATTAAAAGAAGACAAAAACACTTACGATGATATTTTTTCCCCACTGTTTACTAAACGATCAACGGTTATTTGTTTTGTTTGATGGATTTTTCATATGGTATTCAATATATGTGAATGTGAGTTATATTTACTTTTTCTAACTTGACTTAGTCCATGCTTTGTTTTTTGTGTTGAATTTTGTTTTTCGCAGTAAATCAAGGAACCCATCTTTCCCTGTTTACATAATATGCACACACACACACACATGTATTTGTGTTATTAAAGATAGGATTTTCAATAGTCAAAATGCATTTCAAAGTCATCTTTCCAAGTTTTTGCTTTCAAATATTGAAGGCTGGACTGGTGAAGTTTCGCTAGACACAGGGATCACGCGTTGTGATGGAAGGTGTGAATTCTTATTGAAGTTGTGAAAACATGACAAGTTTGGTGTTTATTCGCATATTTAATTTATTTTAGTACTCATTTATAAAATTATTTTGTTAGGTTCATTAATTTTGCAAACATAAATTAATTAATTTTGTTTAAGGTGTGTCAAATGACATATATTAAGAATTATTAAATATATTATATTAAATATTTTAAATTATTATAAGAAGCGTCTTGTGTGGAAGATATGCGGGGTTTAGCGCAAAAGAATAATCATAAAAAGTATATATTAATTTTTTTATGATATTGAGATAATAGCTAATTTTTTTAATAAAAAAAGTCATTTATTTTTAACTTTTTAACATATACTCATAAATACACATTAAGAAAATTGAAAATTAATCAAACCTAAACAAATTAGATAATTTCTTTTTAACATATTTTAACAGGATTTGTTTAAGTTATTTTAAGAGATAAAAAATATTATTTTAGGTGAATTAATAATATTTTATCTATATAACAACTATAAAACTTTATCATGACATGATCATGTTATATAATTTTAAAATTGAAATTTTAGAGATATATTTAGCATAAGATTTTTTTTAATAATAATTTTTTCTAAAGTTATTTTTTTCCTCCATCTACTCTAGAATTCTTTTTTTTTTTTAAACTAACATTACGAGAGTTTTGAAGGATTTAAAAAAACTTTCTAACTATTCTCCTCTTAATTAAGTAACTTCCAAATTAAGGTTAAACTTCACTAACCCTTCCATTTCCCTCCTAAACATGAAATCCAAACATACCCTAAGTTGAGATTCTAATATTTTCTAAGATTTAATTTTCATTACATAGGAAAACTGCTTAATGAATTCCACCCACTTAACATGTCTTTGGTTAAGCTTATTTTGACCCTTTAAATACTTCAAGGGTAACATCCCAAATTTTTATTAATCTTTATTAATTAGAACATCTATTAATTCAATTAAATTATAAATAAAAAATAGATAACAATTTAAAAATTGAAATACAATAAATGAAATTAACCCATAATCAAGTAATTAAGGAAAAATTGTCAAATGCAAACATAGTGTGATCTAGTTAGAAGTGAAAATTATTTTTCTAAATCACCTTAGTTGATTCTTAATTATCTAAAATAAAGTATACTAAGATTATATTTAGTTGTATAAAAACAAAAATAGAAATTTAAATACAAGTTATAAAATTGGCTAAAAATAAAAATAATTTAAAATAGGCCTAGAGTGTCACTCCATTTTCTATAAGTTCATGATTAGAAAAAGAAAATTAAAATTTTTATGACATTTAGCTTAGTGAAAGAGCATAGGGTGCCTAAAAATTCAAAGAAAAAATTCACCAAAAGTCTTACAAAATCAACTAACAAATTATATGAATTTGGTCCAATTTGGAAACAAAATTGTCAAAATTTCAAGGCTTCAAATTATAATTCATTTGCATGGCTAAATCCACTTGAAAGAAAAGCTAAGTAAATATAATTGAAGCATGAGCTCAGCTAGATTGATAAGCCAATGAGAGAAGAGCTTGAGTTTATCAAAACTCCAAACTATGATGCAAGGATGTGAACTTAAGTTTATGTGCTATCCCTTACTAACTTATCTAGTTAAACCAACGCTAAACCTTTTCAAATCAACCATTAATTGGAGCCATTATGAGGAGGGAACTAGGCTCAAGTAATCAAAAAGTTAAAAACAAGTTAAGGCAAGTACTAAGTCCTAACAACATGACATCATGGTTGAAAAATTTCAAAGCATGTTTAGGACTTTGATGGTAATTTTACTTAGAAAAAGAGCTTAAGGGGGACAAACATACAAAGCAAAATATGGAAGATTTAATACCAAGACAATTACTAATTTCCTAAGAAAGAACAAGATCAATATTGTTAGAGAAAATATGGAGGATTTGCCATTATTAATTGAAAGACCTAAAGCAAGATAGAACTCAGTAAGGACATTATGAATGACATTAGCTTGGTGTTGGTCAGCCTTGGCCACTAAAACTATATTATCTAAGAATAAATGAGATATATTGGGACCAAGACTATTGAAAGAAAAGGGAACTCAATCCTGATCTATAATTTTATCCTGAATTAAATGGGTCAATCTTTCTATGCATATGACAAAAATAAGGGGAAACAAGATCCCTCTGCCTAATACCTCTAGAAGGCTTAAAAGGATGGATGTTATTATTATTCCAGTTAACAAACATAAAAGCAGAATGGATACATTGATGGATGAGATTCACAAACTCAGAGTTTAGACCAATTGTTTTGAAGGGTATTAACAATAAAATCCCTTCTA